TGAGGCTATTTTCCTACTTAAGTAACTGATTGAGAAGTTTAGAGCGAAGGGGAGAGACCTCCATATGGTCTTTATTTATCTAGAGAAGGCCTACGATAGAGTACTTCAAGATTTGATTAGGTGGTTGTTGGAAAAGAAATGGGTCTCTAGACACTACATAGACTTGATGAGAGATATATATGATAGGGCGCTAACTAATATACGAACAACTAGTGGAGAGACGATTGAGTTTTTAGTTCAATAGGTCTACATCAGAGGTCAGCATTGGGCCCATTTCTCTCTTTCAGTTATGGATGACTTAACTAGGCACTTACAAGATGAGGTACCGTGGTGCTTGTTGATTGCAGATGACATAGTTTTGATCAATGAGACCTGAGACAGTGTCAACACAAAGTTAGAACTTTGGAGGGATGCTCTAGAATCTAAAGGTTTTAAAATTAGTTGGACTAAGACAAATTATATGGAATGCAATTTTAGTAATAATAGGAGTAGAAATGAGGAAGTAGTTAAGATTATGGCCAGGAAATACTAGAAGAGCATTTTCGATATCTTGGGTGGATAACTCAGGAAAATGGAGAGATTGAGGAAGACGTTGCACATAGAATTAGAGCTGGGGGGGCGAAGTGGAGATGTACAACCGGAATTTTATGTGATCGCCGCATACCAATGAAGCTGAAGGGCAAGTTTTATTGGACAGTTTTGAGACCAAATTTTCTCCATGCGGCGGAATATTGGGCAGTCAAAAAACAATGTACCCATAGAATGAGTGTAGCGGAGATGAGGATGTTGAGAAGGATGAGTGGCAAGAGAAGAAGAGATAGAATTCGAATGAATACATTTGGAAAAATTTAGGTGCGGTGCTAATAGACGATAAGATGAGAGAGAGAGTAGACTTGTGTGGACTGGCCATGTGTGGCACATACTCAGTACAACACCTGTTACGTGCGAGTTAGTTCAAGTGGAAGGCTTAGAAAGGACAAGGAGTAGGTCCAAAAGGACATGGTTAGAAGTAGTGAGAAAAGATATGGGGCTTATGGCCTTATTAAGGGTATGGCTCTTAATATAGCATAATGGTGGACCAGGATCCATGTAGGCGACCCCAATTAGTTGGGAAAAGGCTTTGACAACGACGATGATGATCTATGTGTAATAATAGAGTTGAAAGGAAAATAAATAAAGAAGAATTGTTGAAGGCCCTCAATGCAAATGAAAATTGAGCTTTTTGACCCACCGGAGAAATTTTGCATCAAACTGGGGCTGCTTGTCAGAGGACTTGCTCTCCACATATCTGGGATTGCCCCTTTGCAGAGGTAAGCCTAGACTGAATCTTTGGAGCCATATCATTGACAAATATGACCGTCGATTTGCAGGGTGCAAAGGCAGATTCTTATCTCCGACAGGCCACCTTACTTTGATTAAAGCCACTCTCTAGCACCCTATATTTCATATGTCACTTTTTCATATGCCAGCTTCGGCGGCCCACTGTTTGGAGCAGCTAATGAGAAACTTTTTGTGGTCTAGCAATGGGGATAGGAAGATCGATCTTATATCTTGGAAGAATGTTTGTAAACCTAAATCTCTAGGGGGGCTGGGCATTCGAACCCTCTAAGAAAATAATCTGGAAATGGTGGTGGTGCTTAGCTACCGAAAACAACCATCTCTGGTAGGAGGTAATCAACTCAAAATACCATAGTTCTGACCCCTCTTGGGTACCCTCCGGACGAGCGCATAGCAACTCCTTGGGGATATGGAAGTCCATACTGCGTTCTTACCCACACTTTCAATCCATGATCAGGTACAGGCCTAGGCAGGGGGACAACATTGTTTTGGATCGATACTTGGCTGGAGAATGCACCCCTTGAATACCTTTACCCTAGACTTTTCCTATTGGCCAGGGACTTTAATGCAACTGTGGAATCCCTGTTTCAGCTGATGGGCAATAGGCGGGTGTGGAGTCCTATCCTCAGAAGACCACTCTTGGATCCAGAATTTCAGGAATTCACAGCCCTTTCCATCACTGTAAACTCTGTCTTCCTGCCCCTTTGAGGCCAAGATAGCCTCATCTGAACCCCCAACCACTCGGGTTCCTTCTCTGTGGCCTCCTTCTACTCTTCTCTAGCTCATCCCAGAAGCCCCCCTGCTTACCCCAATTCTATTGTAAACAAAGTTTGGATCCCTTTGGTTCCCCCCGGGATTCAATTCTTCAATTGGATAGCTAGATCCGAGAGAGCCCTTACTGTAGATCAATTGCAGAGAAAGGGTCTGTAGATCAATTGCAGAGAAAGGGTCTCCAAATCCCAAATAGATGCATTATGTGCATTGAGGATGAGGAGACCAACACTCACCTCTTCATCCATTGCAAGGTAGCCTCGTCTATATGGGCTGACATCCTTCAGTTATTCCAATGGCAGTGGGTGACTCCACCTGATGTCCCTCATCTCATCAGTTCTACCTTCTCAACTCCCTGGCCTAAGGCCGGCACCCTGCTGTGGCAGGCCTCGGTGGCTGCACCCTTTGGACAATCTGGACTGAGAGAAATGCCAGATTTTTTCGAAGCCAGTCATCTCCTGTGAATGCACTAGTAGAAAAGATCCAAGAAGCAGTCATCTTCTGAGCCACTCACCACAAACAGTAAACCTTTGCCACTCTGACTTTCTCCACAGCTGGACTCCCATTCGCTCCTTCAAAACTCAGAGGTCATCACGCTCTTCTCTTTGGAGACCACCCGAAGAGGGCCACATCAAGCTTAACTTCGATGGGTGTTCTCTCGGAAACCCAGGTCATGCAGGCATAGGTGGCTTGTTCCGCGACCACAGCAGCAATACCCTTTGCTTCTTTTCTACTCCAATTGGTGTCTCTCATTCAACAATTGCAGAGGCCTCTGCCCTCTGGGAAGGCCTCAGGAAGTTAGAGACTAGCTGGGGGCAGTATGTAACCGTTGAAGACGACTCTTATAGTGTTATATCCAAGGCCTCATGCACTGCCCCTTGACCTTGGAGGCTAGACAACATATTCGAGGAAATCTGTCAACTCACAAGGAATCTACAAATCTCGTGGAATCACGTTTGTAGAGAAGAAAATGGTGAGGCTGATTCCCTAGCAAAGGCATTTGCAACCTTGTCTCAAGCCAACCTGAGCAACCCTTAGAGAACCTTCACTCGGCTTCCTATCACATATTGGAATTGATATAATGGCTCAATTCATGTAAAGCGTTTTTGATACAGCCTTGGTTTTGTACAGGGCAACCGTTTGTGGGTTGCTTATTTTTTGTGCGGAAACTCGTTTGTGGTATCCTGCCCCCCTCTCCTCTCACATTCTGTACTCACTTGCTGTTCAATACAGTCAACATATTCAAAAAAAAAAAATATAAGATGGTGCACTTGAGTTGGATTCTTTCTTTTCATTTGTTTACATTTTTTGCAATTAAAGTTGCCTTTACAGATTGCACTTAAAAAGAAGGCAAAATGCCTCACAAAGAAAGAACATGTGTGTGTATTTGATAAAGAAACCATGAAACAGAGGACAATAGCACAACTCCTAGAAAAACAGAGGACAATAGCACAACTCCTAGAAAAACAGAGGACAATAGCACAACTCCTAGAAAAACAGAGGACATCATAATTATGTCCAACAAGAAGTCCACTTTCTCAAGATTAGATTTGATCAATTGTGGATGGTTCTTCCAAGTTGTTGTTGAGGTTCTTCTTCATTCCTTCTTTAGTTTATTATTCCTCTTGATTAGATTTGATCAATTTGGACGGTCCTTCCTAGTTGTTATTGATGTTCTTCTTCATCCCTTCTTTAGTTTATTATTTCTTTTAGGTAAGTTGTGTCTGAATCCATAGCTCCAAGGTTGCAAAAAGTGTCTTGCAATTGATCTATGGGCTTGATATTCAACTTTCAGGATGTTTATGAGATTCATTTGAGGACTAGATTCCTTCAGTTGGGGAGATCTGTCACCTTGATGAAGGCCCATGTAGCTCTAGCATTGCAAAACTTGTTATTCTACTCTCAACTGCCTAATTCTGCTAAAGATCTTATTTTTTTGGTTTGAGATCATCTTCCCATTTCACCAAGCAGAACTTCCAAAATCCACTCTTCATTACTTTCAATTTTCATTTACTGAATATCTCGCTCTTTTGGTTTAAAAACATCGTTGCCATCTCACTATGTTGGCTTCCAACCTTCACTATTTTGAATTTTCGCAAATATACTTTCCTCCCTTGCCCTTGGTAATGAATCCTCTCAAAATTATTAGCTATCCTTGTCTGCTCTCCAGAAAAGCAACATGTTTTACAGTTATATCTAGAAACTCTAGTTTATGTAATGGATAGGCTTTTCTGATGTCCACCATGGTCCTAGGTGGACTTTTAAGAGATACAACATCACCCACCTTGTGCAGTCAAGGTCTACTGATATATTCAATTATTTTGCAGCAAATAGATATGAAGCCATTATAGGAAGCAAAACTCATGAGTTTGATTATATAATTTTCTGTGAGAAGGGCTAATCTTAGCTTTAATACTTCCTAGAGAGTTGTGGCAAGTCATGAAGTAGACAAGTGCTACCAGTTTCTAAGTTGCTTCTCATTTTTCAGACCAAAAGGCATCACTTGATAAAGCCAGTTTCTTGCTATATGGGGAACGCAATGAACTATTTGACTTTGAGAGCCATCTTATTCTGGTTTCAACTTGGTAAACCCCTCATGCAGGAGAGTACTTGAGGAATAGATTTCATGTTTTGATCCTCCCATATGATGTACTTCTTTCTGTATGACAAATTTAGGTACATGTTAGCATGGAGTCTGATTGGTGGAGTATTACACTGAAGTACTAGGTGGTGATGCTTTCTCACGATATTTTATTGAGATTCCTGGAGTTCTTTGATCTTTTAAAGTTTTTATCTCTAAGAAAATTAATGTTTTTTAATATGTTGACTATTGTATTAAGTAATAAAGAGCTTTACAACCATGAGTATATACTAAAAAATAGGCAATACAGGTTGGGTGCCCTGTACAAAAATCCATTTAGTGCCCAAAATGTGCTCTACAACAAGAACGAAGAAAACAAAATAACAAGAATGGAGACTACATGCTAAAAAATTGCCAATAATCCCTGTTGTGGAGCTTAAGTCTTGCTCCTTCCCCAACTAAAGCATCGGCAGCTGCGTTGGCTTCCCTGAAGGTATGCCTCCAAGTGATGCGCATTGTCCTGCAAACAGTGAAATTTCATTGAAGATATGGTCGTCTCCAAGGGCATGGTGCAGAGCCAGAAGCCCAGGCGATGACATTTCTGGAGTCACCCGTGGCTATCAATTCCGAACTCCAGCTAGGATTAAAATTCAAAGGCCCGCTATAAGAAAGCAAGGGCCTCCACAGATGTAGAGTCCATAAATCCGATAGGGAGGGAGAAAGAGAGGACAGTGCTGTCGATGTTTCTGAAAATTCCCCCAGTGCCGGATGGTCCCGGATTGCCAAGAGAGCAACCATCGAAATTTAGCTTGTTAGGCCACTTTCTGGTGGTCTCCACAGAGATGCACATGAGATCCTTAGGGGTCTCAAGTTCAAGAGGGCCTGCCAATTGTGATGGATATTGGTAAAGGAGAAATCTCTGAAAAGCTTGTAATTTTGGCCCAAAAGGAGACGAGGGTTCTGATTCTATCGATCAATGTAGGGATTGTGGCTCTCTCCTCTCTGAAAATTCTGTTGTTCCTTTCGAGCCAAATAACCCACAGCGTAGCGGCTATTGAGGCCCTCCAAAGGAGATAGCCTGACTTGGGGAAAGGGGTGCTGAGGAAGGCAGAAAAGAGATGGGGGATCGATTGAGGGGTCACACAGGACCAATTGAACAGATGGAGTAGGTCGCTCCATAGGGCTGAAGCAATTTCACAGTGGATGCCGAGATTTGTGTTGGTTTCTTGAGCCTCCAAACACGACACATCCATTGGGTAAAGGGAAGCCCCTTCTCTGAAGTTGATCAACAGTTAAGGCTCTTTCATGATGAGCAATCCAGCGGAAGACTTGGACCTTGGGTGGAATTAAGAAGAGCCACGCTTTAGCCGCAATGGAGGGGGGGGCTGCAGGAAGGGTAGGTGGCAGGGTGATGGTTCGATAGGAGGACACGGAAAAGGCCCTGACGCAGCCAGTGACCAAACAATCTTGTCTTCTGCAACAGGGTACAGGAACACAGAGTGGAGGAGAGCTGAGATCTCCAAAAACTCTTCCATCTCGTGGTCTGAAATGGGCCTTCTAAAGTTGGGGTTCCATGTTCTGGCAGGCCATGATCTAACAAAGTTATCGGCCACTGTTGATTGGGAATCTCAGGCTAGGAGGAAGAGATTTGGGAACTGGTCCCTAAGTGGAGCATGTCCTACCCAGGTGTCGGACCAGAACAAGACCCGGCTACCCTCGCTCGGATGAAAGCATATCTGTTTTAAGAAGAAGTTGCAGCTATGGAGAAGGGACCTGAAAAGCCTGCGATGTTACCACTACCCCTGCATGTTGGGAGCCATGCATGATCACCATGGCAGTATTTGTGACGAATAACCTCTCTCCAAAGACGATTGGGTTTCATGGCATAACGCCACCACTATTTCCCCAGAAGCACAGTATTGTTAAACTTAAGATGCAAATGCCCAAACCTCCTTAGAGTTTTCTTTTCGTCTATTATGGGTATTGGGTATTTTCTCATGAAAAATTTCGAAATTCTCTTGAGAGATCACTCCATCTAGTAATTTCTAGAAGAAGATTTGTTTGTGCATGCTATTATGGTCAGTAAGAGTTATCAACTGAGTTTTTCTGAATAAAAGCAGGGGAGGTTGTAGCAAGAGATCCATTAACGTAACCAAGTAGATATTGAGAACAAATTGTTGGCAATAGTATTGTTAAAATCATATTAGGTTGGCCACTATGGTTAATTCGTGAGATTGGTTAACAGGCTTGAACCTTGAGTGTGAGACTTGCAGTTGCGTGGTGGCGATGCTCGTCTCCTGGACTTGGATAAACGAAAAACAAAATCCTACAATTGGTTTTGATGGCTCACAAGTCATTCCTCTTTGTAGTAAAATAAATTGTTTCTCATTGGTAGAAAGCTAGGTTTGAAATTCTCTTCACTAACCTGCCATTTTTCCTTATAAAAGCTAAAAACTATGTCGGTCTTCCTAATTTCTCTATCTAGACATGCTTATATGGGTTGTATATGTTTCTCTTGGAAGTATTTTTTTTTTGGAAACTTTCTACTACCTTTCTAATTTATTTTTAATATGTGCCTCTTGAAAAATCATAGAACTAACATCAGCTACATTGACTTTCAAGGATTAGCCTATACCAACTAGAAACAAGGTCCTATCCAGTTCACTGGAGACATGGGAGCCAAAATAAGACATACAATGAGTTACAAGATATGGGAAAGGATGATGAAACATCATACTCCAAAGATCTTGATTATATGAAGTTTAACACTAAACTACCTCTGAAGGTTTTGTGCAAGGGTTGTAATTTGTCTGTTAGGACCAGACAAATTGTTATAGCCTTATAGGTTGGTCCATATTGCATGATTTTGTGTGTGTGCTTATATGTATCTGTTTGTGTGTATAAGATTTTTGAGAACAAATGGAGATTAAAAGAGATATATTAGTGTGCTGATAGGCTGTGGTTACCTGCTAATATCTGACCTTTCTCAGTGGATAGGGATATCCAAAAGTGTATTCTAAAGAAGAGAATCCCTCCCTTTTATATGGCTACCATATTATGTGTATCTCTAAAGAAACAGGTCGTTTCACGGATGGCTGTCCCTCCTGTGTCAACTGTTTAAACTAACCTCTCCTATGATAATAGTTTCCCAATGGTCATACATCTTTCATTCAAAGAGTGTTTCTCTTGATTTGAATAAAGCCTGCTTGAAGATAACATACTTTTGTATTTACTTGTGACAATATTTTTTTTCCTAAAAAAATACCAAGAGAAGTACATTTACACAGTGATGTAAGGTTTTCACTGAATTCTAGTTTTGCCCATTATATCATGGTTAGTATAGATAGCTGTGAGGCTACACGCTAACTTCTCCCACTTGAATGTATGTTTCACTACAAGGGTTTGCCCATAATAGAATTTAATTCCATGGTTTAATTCCGACTTAGATACCTCTTTAAGTCCCATTATTCTTGCAGGCTTATTCAGCAGTCACACTGTTAACTCTTTCAATTACCTCGTTCATTTCCACAATATGTTGAGTATGGAAATATCCAACTTCTATGTGTTCGCCCTTAGAACCGGTTGCTCCATTATCAATAAATGCTATACCTCCTGTTAACTTTTCTCAAAAAAAATAAATGCTATACCTCCTCTCCAAGGGGGCCATAGAAGCTATCATTTCCAAATTTTATCATTATTTTGGAAGCCACGGCTTCCAAAATAGCGAAGTACTTTATGTTTTCTAAAATGGAAAGTGCTATAGTTTTAGGAAGCGGTGGTTTTCAAAGCCACTGCTTCGCAAATCAAACGTGCCCTATATGAATCGGTTTGTCCTTTGTCTAGTTTCTAAGTCTTCAATGAAATGTTTTAACCATACATCATATTTTGGGGCTATACTACATGAAAAATTATTCTGCTTTCATTTTTATGTTGGGCAACACATCCATGTTTCTTACTTGACCCAGAAAGAGAACCTACACCAAAGATTGAACTTCTTATCATCAAAGTCTCTTGCAAATTTTGCTGGGAATCCCTGAATCACCACATACTATTCACTTGCCGAGAGTTTATAGCTTTTAGTTCCCTAGATATACCAAATTATTCTTTGAACTGCCTGCTAGTAAGCCATTTTGGGTTCACTTTGGAATCTACCAACAAGTCATATTGCATATCCAAATCTAGTACTAAAAGCACAACATAATAGTACTTGGTCAAGGAATATTTTTCATTTCAGCCGTATTTTTGTCACTAGATGGACATTAATGCCTTTAGACACTTTCAATCCTTTATAAATAGGTGGCCTAATGGGTTTGTAGTTATCGAATCCAGATATTTTCTTGGGATAAGGAAGTTGCTCTTCTATTTCCTATGACTTTTATGTCTCAGGTGATGCTCATCCCTTATCTTTCATTGATGATTGAGATTGTAATAACCAATTCATTTGCGCAAATTTCCAGCCAATAACTGATTATTTGTATACAGTTATAACATCATAAATTTAGTCCCACTATTTCCCACATATACACAACGAACCAGGCTATTGGATACATAAGCAATTTGATTATATCGTTGTGAAATTTAAAGTACCATTGTCTAGGAAAGTATATCAGATCACAAGGACTTTGTCAATCCATGGACTTTATGTTGTTGTCCTTCAACCAAATGACCTGTAAGTTGTTTGATGCAGATTTTTCCTTGAAGTAACCATTAAAAAAAGTTGTTTTGGCATCCATTTGAAAAAATTTTAAGTCAGTAATGTGCTATTATGGCCATTCTAATGGATGTCAATTTTGCCACGGTGCATGAGTTTGAGTATAATTATACGCTCTTGTTGTATGAACCCTTTTCCTCCTAATCTAGCTCCGAAGTTATCAATTGTACCATTCTTGTTTGAATTTGTATTTAGCATTAGGAGTGGCAACGGGCTAGGCTTTTGCTGGGCCTCCCCTGGCCCTAGCTTGGCCCTGGTCCCCATAGGGCTGGCTGGCTGGCTCAAGCCCGGCCCTAGCCCTATCAGGGCTTGCTGGGCCGGGCTAAATAAAATCAAAATAAAAAAACAAAGAACGTGTATGCTATGCTCCTGTGAGACCATAATGTACATTTACTGGCCCTAGCTTGGCGCTGGTCCCCATAGGGCGGGCCAGTTGGTCCTTGACAGGCCAAATAGGCCCTGGCCCAAGCCTGGCCCTAGTCCTATCAGATGGTTGGGCCGGGCTAAATAAAATCAAAATAAAAAAACAAAGGTGTATACTTTGCTCTTGTGGGACCATAGTGTACATTTACCCCCTTAGGCAGAAGGCTAACTAGGAGCGATATTTTTTATCTGAAATTTTGGGAACCACCCATGAATCACTAGGTGATCGTTTTCTTAAAAAAAAGAAAAGAGTTTTTGATTTTTCAGTTGTCCAATACTCAGAACTCACACCCTCTAAATATTGGACGGTCTCTGAGACATTAGTATTTTCAAGCATGTAGAGAGTGTGATTCGCGAGTTTTTTGTATAGAGGTTAGTCTATGGGTTAAGGATGCTACATTCCCAAAAATTTAGGGTCCTAAAAATACTTCTAAATTAGGTTTTACCTTAGGAGTAGACAATATGCTTTGGCGGGGGACTTGAAATTGTTTGGCATTTGTAACTCGAAAGTGCATTTCTCTTTCCCCAAACGGTTCTTATAATTTTAATATCTCTTAATAGTTGGTTTGGCACTTCAGAGTTTTTTTTTTTTTGTTTGATTGGTTCCTGATTTCTTTTGTACATTTATATGTAAAAAAAAGAAAAAAAAGATCAGGTTTCAAATTTAAAAGAGAAATATCAAATCATCAGAAAAAAAGGGAAGTGAGGGACTAAAACATCTCGTGCAACAGATTGGCAATTCAACATCTTAATCCACTCAGCCATCTCTCCAAATTGGATTGGAAAAGGATAATTCATAATGTGTCATGTGTAGTAACGATTGATGAGAATCTCTCTAAAGAAACTTTATGAGAGATAAAGGTATATTCGAATTTTATGAGAGATAAAATTTGTGGGACAAATAACAATTCAAAAAGTACCAAAATATTAAAATTTCCTTGCCTCTATGAGTTCCTACTTGGGGGATCACAAAGATCTGACTGGATAATCTTTAATAATTATTTTAAGGGATTGTCTACAAAGTGATTATTTATCTTCTGTACATGAAGGTCATAATTATTTGTCCTTTAAATTTCATAATGGGTGGTTGTAAGAGTATTATTGAATAGACAGAAAGTTCAAAAGAATGATTCTCAGACTTCTTGACTTACTTTAAACCACTCAATTTGACATCTAAAGAGTTGGAATGATTGTGACATTCATGTACAAAAGATAAATGATCTCTTTATAGTCAATACCTTATTATAAATGGTTCTTCAATCAACTTTCCAAACAAATATGGCTCAAAAGTTTGATAATTCATAACAAATTTCTTTTGGATTAGGAATTAGGCCAACCTCTCCAAACTTCCGTATTTTTTTTCTTTATTTGTGTGCCCTTATCTTAATTGCCATGTGCATGCATCATACATATCTACATTCATTATCAATATAATAATTGGTATTCATATTGCTTATATTAAGATGATAAAAATTAAGAGAAATTTATCAATTTACCTACAAGAGAGAAACAATTTAACACTATCCATGTCTTTTGATTTAATTTTAGAATACCAATAAAAATACATAGAGGTACGTATGGACGAGGAGACAACGCGGGTAGGAGCATTCCTCGCATCGGAATCAGTACCAGAAGTAGTATCCATACCCCGAACCCGCACCATCACCATCACCATCACCAATAGAAGCAAAGTTAGAGCTCACTGAGTTGTTTGGCCTGCCATTCCTATTCTAGTTGCTAAACCTGGTTGTTGGTATGTACACATGATGATGTATTGGAATAGTTGAAATTAGGCAAAATGTTAAATACTTATTTATAGGTATTTTAACAATTTTCCCCAATTTCTTGATTTTCCTTGGGTCGAATAGTTTAAAACAATTACAAGTGGCGAAAATGTGCAATAAATAGCAAAATTTACTGATTTTTATGCCTAGTCAATTGGACATTGCAA